GTTAGGGCCACTGCAGAGTTAGGGCCACTGCAGAGTTAGGGCCACTGTAGAGTTAGGGTCACTGTAGAGTTAGGGCCACTGTAGAGATAGGGCCATCATATGGTTAGGGCCACTGTAGAGTTAGGGTCACTGTAGAGTTGGGGCCACTGTAGAGTTAGGGCCATCGTATGGTTAGGGCCACTGCAGAGTTAGGGTCACTGTAGAGTTGGGGCCACTGTAGAGTTAGGGCCATCGTATGGTTAGGGCCACTGTAGAGATTTGGCCATCGTATGGTTAGGGCCACTGTAGAGTTAGGGTCACTGTAGAGTTGGGGCCACTGTAGAGTTAGGGCCATCGTATGGTTAGGGCCACTGTAGAGATTTGGCCATCGTATGGTTAGGGCCACTGTAGAGTTAGGGTCACTGTAGAGTTGGGGCCACTGTAGAGTTAGGGCCATCGTATGGTTAGGGCCACTGTAGAGATTTGGCCATCGTATGGTTAGGGCCACTGTAGAGTTAGGGTCACTGTAGAGTTGGGGCCACTGTAGAGTTAGGGCCATCGTATGGTTAGGGCCACTGTAGAGATTTGGCCATCATATGGTTAGGGCCACTGTAGAGTTAGGGTCACTGTAGAGTTGGGGCCACTGTAGAGTTAGGGCCATCGTATGGTTAGGGCCACTGTAGAGATTTGGCCATCGTATGGTTAGGGCCACTGTAGAGTTAGGGTCACTGTAGAGTTGGGGCCACTGTAGAGTTAGGGCCATCGTATGGTTAGGGCCACTGTAGAGATAGGGCCATCGTATGGTTAGGGCCACTGTAGAGATAGGGCCATCGTATGGTTAGGGCCACTGCAGAGTTAGGGCCACTGCAGAGTTAGGGTCACTGTAGAGTTGGGGCCACTGTAGAGTTAGTGCCATCGTATGGTTAGGGCCACTGTAGAGTTGGGGGCACTGTAGAGTTAGGGCCATCGTATGGTTAGGGCCACTGTAGAGATACGGCCATCGTATGGTTAGGGCCACTGTAGAGTTAGGGCCATTGTAGAGTTAGGACCATAGTAGGGTTAGGGCCACCGTAGGGAGCATTTATCGGCCACTTAGGTCACTGCCCCGCACTGTAGGCCGTCCCAGTTTGTAGGCGCCTCCTCATGTGGCCGACAAAACGCTGAAAATGTGGGCTGCATCTGAGTATGGTACGCAGCCGACGGTATCCCAGGATGCATTGCTCCGTCAGAAAACTAAACAGAAAATGAAGACAGCTGAGTTTTTTTATTTTACGGCAGAGTTTGAAAATTCATCACAGACCAAAGAATTTGGTTTTAAATGTAAATTCACCAAATGAACTGATGAATGAGATGTTAAAGAAAATGAATTATTTATTTGAACTTTATCAGAAAACTGATTATTCCTTCAGAACAACATTTAACCAGTATTTTACCAGTAATCAGTGATTGGAATAAAACGTTTTGTTTGTTTGTTGATGAGGTTCATCTAGCCCTGGACTGTCCCTCCTGAGCTCCTGTAGTTTGATGGTTGAGGAGGAGGGAGACTTGTGATGAAGAAAACAGTTTTAAAACTCTAATGTATTTGTTTCATCTTAAAAGTTTACAGCTGATATCTTTAAAACAACAAATGTAAATAAAAACAAATCTCAGAGGTTGGTTGTTTTCCTGCAGAAGTGAAATAAAGATGCTGAGGAGGAAACCGACTCGTCTGGAGCTGAAGATCGACGACACAGAAGAGTTTGAGAGCATCAAGAAAGAGCTGGAGGTTTGAACCCATGTACCTGTGACGTTAGGCTGAGGGATGTGTTTACAGGTGTGTTTACAGCTGTGTTTACAGGTGTGTTTACAGGTGTGTTTACAGGTGTGTTTACAGGTGTGTTTACAGGTGTGTTTACAGGTGTGTTTACAGGTTAGACCTGTGTGTTTACATGTGTGTTTACAGCTGTTTACAGGTGTGTTTACAGGTGTGTTTACAGCTGTGTTTACAGGTGTGTTTACAGGTGTGTTTACAGGTTAGACCTGTGTGTTTACAGGTGTGTTTACAGGTGTGTTTACAGCTGTGTTTACAGGTGTGTTTACAGCTGTGTTTACAGCTGTGTTTACAGCTGTGTTTACAGCTGTGTTTACAGCTGTGTTTACAGGTTAGACCTGTGTGTTTACAGGTGTGTTTACAGGTGTGTTTACAGGTGTGTTTACAGGTTAGACCTGTGTGTTTACATGCTGTGTTTACAGGTGTGTTTACAGGTGTGTTTACAGGTTAGACCTGTGTGTTTACATGTGTGTTTACAGGTGTGTTTACAGGTGTGTTTACAGGTTAGACCTGTGTGTTTACATGTGTGTTTACAGGTGTGTTTACAGCTGTGTTTACAGCTGTGTTTACAGGTTAGACCTGTGTGTTTACAGGTGTGTTTACAGCTGTGTTTACAGCTGTGTTTACAGGTTAGACCTGTGTGTTTACAGGTGTGTTTACAGGTGTGTTTACAGGTTAGACCTGTGTGTTTACAGGTGTGTTTACAGCTGTGTTTACAGCTGTGTTTACAGGTTAGACCTGTGTGTTTACAGGTGTGTTTACAGGTCAGAGCTCTGGCACTGCATGAACAGGTAAAGAGTAAAAAGGTATTAATCTACCATAACTGAAGGTTAAACTAGTTATTTGTCTTTCAGGCCAGGAAGCGTCAGCGAGAAGAAGCAGAATCAGGAGGCGGAGCTTCTGTCATTGGTGTGGATCTAATTAGAGGCGGAGCTTCTGCCTCAGCCTCTTCCTCCACTCTTGCGTCAAGGGCGGAGCTAATCAATGATCGGATCGGCTACAAACCTCACCCTAAACCTGCCACCCTGCCGACTTTATTTGGAAGTTTACAGTTTTAATAAAGTTCAGACATAAAACTTGTTTGTCATATTTTTAGTTTAACTAATTTTTACAGATTCAAGATTTTTTGTTTTTACACAAATGTAACGGTCTGACAAAGAAATCAGAGAGAAAAAGGTCCTGAGTGATTTGTTGACAGAGCTCATAAAAACTGAAGCAACTGAAGCTGTTTAACAAAACCAGGATAGGGCATTAAACTGAGATTTTCCAGATATTCTGGCTGAATTAAGCCTTGATTCGGGGTTAGGGTTAGTTTAGGGTCTTTGTGAAACGGATGAAGCCAGGATGAACTGATCACGTTATGTCAAGTCTAGATTTATCTCTTATCCTGGATTTCTCAACCCTACTTCAGCCCTCAGTTCAAAGTTGTTGCTTCAAGAGTCAGAATTTTAAAAGCATGCTGAGCTGAACAGAGCTACAGCAGAACCACCCGGCTCTGTTTTATTGCTTCCAAATTCACTAGTGTAGAGAAATGGTAGAAACAAACTGATAATGGTACTCATCTGTGCTAGAGCCGATTAAAAACAATCACATTTTAATTTTTAAATAAAAAGACAAAGTCACTGACATCATATGATTTATTTTTATAACAACTTTAAACAAATATAAAAGACAATTAGTGCTGAAAAATACTTTTATTTACAAAAACAGTAGGTGGCACTCTGAGCTCTGACATTACCAACGTTAAGGCCCTGCCCCCACACAGACCAAGAAATGGTGCTGACAAATCAAAAATCTGTCTGTCTTAGAAAATGAATGGTTTCAGTTCCCAAGACAACAAGGGGACTGATTCTAAAGGTAAAGACCAACATAAAATATTTAATATAAACTAAACTTTATTAGTCAAAATCAACTTCCCATGTATAAGTGGGCATGGCCTGTGTCAACTGACAGCAGCATGTCATAAAATATAAAAAAAATAAAATAATAAATAAAGTTTAAAAAATAGCAAAAGGTTTTTTGTTCCTTGATGAAAGCATTAGTGCTTTAGAGTAAAGGATGGGGTTTTGTAAAAACATCTGATGTCATGATTACAGTCCAGGACAGAGGTTTACAGATGGTTTGTCTCTTAAATGATGATTTACTGTCGGGTCGACTCTTTACTGTTGGGTTGACTCTTTAGTGTCGGGTAGTGTCGGGTCGACTCTTAAGTGTCGGGTCGACCCTTTACTGTCGGGTCGACTCTTAAGTGTCGGGTCGACTCTTTACTGTTGGGTAGTGTCAGGTCGACCCTTTACTGTCGGGTCAACTCTTTAGTGTTGGGTAGTGTCGGGTCGACCCTTTACTGTTGGGTCGACCCTTTACTGTCGGGTCGACCCTTTACTGTCGGGTCGACTCTTTACTGTTGGGTCGACTCTTTACTGTTGGGTAGTGTCAGGTCGACTCTTTAGTGTCAGTGTCAGGTCGACTCTTTAGTGTCAGTGTCAGGTCGACTCTTTAGTGTCAGTGTCAGGTCGACTCTTTAGTGTCAGTGTCGGGTCGACTCTTTAGTGTCGGGTCGACCCTTTACTGTCGGGTCGACCCTTTACTGTTGGGTCGACCCTTTAGTGTCGGGTCGACTCTGCTGTTGGGTAGTGTTGGGTCAACTCTTTACTGTTGGGTAGTGTTGGGTCAACTCTTTACTGTCGGGTCAACTCTTTAGTGTTGGGTAGTGTCGGGTCGACTCTTTACTGTCGGGTCGACCCTTTACTGTCGGGTCGACCCTTTACTGTCGGGTCGACTCCTTACTGTTGGGTAGTGTCAGGTCGACTCTTTAGTGTTGGGTAGTGTTGGGTCGACTCTTTACTGTTGGGTCGACTCTTTGCTGTTGGGTAGTGTTTGGTCGACTCTTTACTGTTGGGTCAACTCTTTAGTGTTGGGTCGACTCTTTACTGTTGGGTCGACTCTTTACTGTTGGGTCAACTCTTTGCTGTTGGGTAGTGTTGGGTCAACTCTTTACGGTTGGGCTGACTCTTTACTGTTGGGTCGACTCTTTACTGTCGGGTCGACTCTTTACTGTCGGGTCGACTCTTTACTGTCGGGTCGACTCTTTACTGTTGGGTCGACTCTTTACTGTTGGGTCGACTCTTTGCTGTTGGGTAGTGTTTGGTTGACTCTTTACTGTTGGGTCAACTCTTTACGGTTGGGTAGTGTTGGGTCAACTCTTTACTGTTGGGTCAACTCTTTACTGTTGGGTAGTGTTGGGTCAACTCTTTACTGTTGGGTCGACTCTTTACTGTTGGGTAGTGTTGGGTC